AAAAAAAAAAAAGAAGAAAGAAAAAGGAGAGTATCAGGATGCAACAAAGTAACAGAGTCTTTCACAGAGTCTCAGAAACAAACAAAAGGATAACCAAAAACACATCTGTAAAAGTAAATGAGAAGAAACTGCAGAAGGCCTTGCCTGACCCATAGGAGGGTCCAAGCAAGTGGTTCACTACTCATCCAGCCGCAGTTCCAGTACAAGGATTCTCCTCCTGCCCTGCCAGTGCCAACAAATTTCACTCCGAAATTGTATGCTTTTTTTACAATAAGGCACTCTGTTTCAAAGGAAATAATGTAAGCAACACATACAATGCACACACTGCTATGAAAAGAAATGCTTGCTATATCCAGGAAAACTTCAATCCCAACAAAAATGAATATAATCCAAATGAGTTTATAATTTACACTTGGCTTTGGAATATAATTTTTTTCAGTGAGGAACTTCCAAATCATATTTTCTAAAGCCAATAGTAAAGTAAGAGAATTCTTTAACTACCAACCAAAAGATCATCAGAAGTGATCACACAACTTAACTCAAATGCTGGCAACTTGATTGACTTTCCTGGAACATGGATTAACTTAAAATTACATGACTGTGATCATTTTTACATTTCATTTTGCCCACAGTACATAGCTGTGTTTTTTAGGAGAATGTCCTTTTGTTGTTTTTTTAAATAATCCTTTGAGTCACATGTATCATGAAATAATGAATCCATAATTACTCCATCTTGATTTATACTTTTACATGAACAGTTTTATAAAGATTTGGGAAGAAAGCTGTGGAAAATGTCTTGTGACGATATAGCATACTAAAAACCATAAATCTATTTTAATGCACTTAACTGAATATTAAATTGTAAAATGATGAGAAAAAAAGACCATAGAAAGTTATGTAGTAATAATGTCAGAAATCACCATTCCAACCCACCTTCTCATTAAATAGACAAGGAAACTGAGAGCTAGGAAAATTAAGGGGCTTCCTTCCTGCTATCTAGTTAGGAAAAAATTTTGGCACCTGGCACACTAATGACACCACATACAATACTGGGTTCCTCCTGATATGACACATAACTGAAAGAAAAACCAAAACCCGTACACAAATCTATGTTTACTTTTTTAAAAAATGCCAAGTATTACCACTGTGTTGAAGAAAGCATTTACAGGCTTATACTATCTCTGCCACCTCAAAAAAACCTCTAACCATACTGGAATATTGGGAAATATTCAGCTTTTAAATACTTATACCAGTTGAATGATTTTTAAAAAAAAGAAAACAGTAACAGATCAATTAAGCCTTCCCATGGGACACAAAAATCCCTGAAATAATGAGGAAACTGGATAGGAGTAACTCAAAGAACCTATGTAGGTGTGGCACTCTTGGCAGGCTGCTCAGCACCAAAGGCAGAAGTGATCACAAGTGTGACTCAATTCATAATATTAAAAGAAATCAAAGGAAGGCAAATCTAAGAAAGTCTGGTTCACTGATTGATTCTGTCAATTAACAGACCAAGTCTACTGCTTTTTAAAGAGGACTCTGAATCCAAAGAAGCTCCCAACACTGGTTATCTAGTAAGTTATTGCAGTGCAACCTTTTCATATCAAACTGATATCCAGCTGGAGTGTAGAGCATGCCACAGCCATAATGCAGCTGTGGAAATCTGTTCCATTTGACTCTGACCTGCGTGATTAAGGAGAGGCAATGCTGCAGGTTTAGGAGTAGTAAGAAGCTCCCAGGCAGACCTCACAAGTACCAAAGTGTCGCTCTAGGAAGTTTCATTTATATAACTTCACATGACCCAGGCCCTCCACCAGAACTACTTTCTTACTTCTAGTGTCTGTAGTCCAAAAACTGTGAAGTGAAGCAGAAATCAGGACTTACTGTAAGGTAGGGAAGAGCTTTCTTCACTTAAGAAATTTGCACCCAATCAAACAGAACTCAAGTTTGTGCCATTTCACAGCTTATTACAAAATTCTGCAAAATATTCAGCTGTCACTGAATAAAGCACTTAGTGTACTAGGAAAACCGCACCTAATTAGTCACATAAAATCCTAATCAAAAAATACCCTAAAATAACCTAAAAGAGATTTCCTCTTATAATACAAGTAGTGTTGTAAGTTTACAAATGCTTAATTTTATTTTCATTGTACAGCTATAATTCATGCAATATGTGTATTTATGTGTAAGCATTCTTCCTGAAAAACGATGTTTTGGAGGTAATCTATTCATTATTTGCATACATTTAACATAAATCACTGCACAAAACAGAAAGTTTACTATTTTAATTACTTTGTTTTCACATTTAACCAGCTGCACAAATTCAATGTAACTATTAATGGCAGCAGCCAAACAAACAGAATTTCTTATGCCTAAATAGACAAAATTATGTGCACCAAAGAATTGAAAAAATCTGATAAAACTTACTTGCTACTCCTGATGCAAGTCCATAAAGCAGTCCTCCCCCATCCGACTGCTGAGGGAAAACATGGGTTCCTGGAGGAGGTGGCTTTTCTTGTCTGATAAAGTTATATAATAAGGTCTTCACAAGTTTGCTGGTGTATGGAAGACTACACAAAAAGGAAAAAAAATCAAACTCATATTTATGGGAGTCATCTAATTCTGAGTCACAATACAGAAATAATTCTGCCATTAACACTATTAATATAAAAGGGCTATTGGTACAACTCACAGAAATTGAGCACTGTCACGTAACAGTGAAGACCATGGGCTTTGAGAGCAATTCTGAGGCTTAATCCTGGCTTTTCTTCTTACCACATCATAAAATATTGATCAAATTACTTAAATACTTTTTTGTTGCTGTTGCGGGGAGAGACAAGGTCTCACTATGTTGCCCAGGCTGTTCTCAAACTCCTAAACTTAAGCGATCCTCCTGCCTCGGACTCCCAAAGTGCTGAGATTACAGGCATGAGCCACCGCCCCGCAGCCCACTTGAACTCTTGAACTTCAGTTACTTTTTCTGTATTCTGTATAACACTGTAAGCTACTACAAATTTAGTGCGTAACACATTATCTGGCAGTTGAAGGGAAGTAGTAACACGGAATCGGTAGAAAAAAGCAAGAATTTAAAAATAACAATAGGACTACATTTTTTAAGTATGAAATTATTCAATTATTCAATTGGTATTAAACTAATTCCTGCAATCTAGAGTAAGCTTTTTAACAGATGTCTTTAATGTACTATTGAGCTTTTTAAATATGGTTTCCAAGGTGAACCACAAAAATAAGTAAAGAATATATTATGGTTTAAATATTTGGCACCATAATGATACTATAAAAACCTTACTTAGAAAATAAGAACACTAACACTCTCTATGTCTATTTTTAAAAAGCAACTTGAATACTCTCGCACTATAAGGAATGAAGTTCACAGTCTTGTTTTAGCAAAGATGCACACAGTCCCACGATGCCAGCACTACTTCAAATCACGGTCATTCTGAGAGTCTCTGTCAGAGAGGCTTCCGATGCAACCCTCTGTCTCCAAAGTCCAGGTCCTCTCCCTCTTATCAGTGATTTTCAAATATGTTCAAAGAACATACATGCCACAGGAATAATCAGGGTGGCAAAAAGAACATGAAGACAAAGCTCCCACTACCTGAGAACTTTCCTCAAAGGTACTTTATTTGGATTTGTTTTACATTTTTAAAGTTTTATGAAGATTATGTTAATACAAGGTCAGGTATGTGCATGTGTGTTGGTCATTTCCATCCCCACCCTCTAGGAGATCGTAAGCTTCTGCTCAAGATCATAGCCCCACAGCCTAACATGCCTGGCACGTGGTTAGCACATGGTAAATATTTGCAGGCTCAATGAAGTAGAAATAGTCAGTGAAGAGGCTGTTGGAGAAACCCAAAGAGAGTGAGGGGGCACAGATCACAGTTGTTTCACAGAGACTGCTGAGAAGAAAAAGATACAAAAATAATCTGAATAACAAATATGACTTGACTGCTTAAACATAGAAAGAATGAAGGAGAAGGAAGAAAAAGATTATTTCAAAGTTTCAATTCTACGAAGCAACCACTGGAGAAGGTAATGAAGCTAGGGGACAGGAAGAACAGGGAGGATGGGTAGATGGCACAGGAAAGCAGAATGCGGTTCCCTGTACACTGGGTTTAAAGAGATAACAGAACAACTAGAGGAAACACCTGGTTGGAGATACGGGACGATACTCAGGTAAGAGGACAAGACTAGAAATACAAATTTATACAATGAAAACTAGACATATTTAAAGTAGAAACATACCATGGACCTCGCATCAAATACTTGTGGCTGATGCTCTGTCGCAAAACTTCTTTGTGGAAGAGCTGGCAGGAAAGGAAAACAACCATTGTTGATATAGCTTCTACTGATATTTCATATGTAATATCTCTGAAATGGAAGAAAAACAGAGTAACAATCACTTTGGAAGATCAGGACTCTACTCTTTTCTAAATGAACTGTACATTTAAAAACTCAAATCTAAATATTCAGTATTTTCAGGTAACTGATAAATATTAACATAAAAATTAAGTCAAGCAAAAATATTAAACTCCTTCCCTGTCGTTAGCTGGTGTATTTGGGTTAGTTATCCCTTTATTTCCCTATTTTCCAGTTCCCATCTCCTATTAAATGACAAACCTATTTGTGTATAATGGAAATAGTTACCAGCAGTGTTCTGCTTTGAAGATCCACTCTAGACCTCTATGTTCATTTCTGTTTAGTGATAATACAGAGACTCCGATTGTAAAGCTGAAGAGAAGTTACAGTGTAGGGAAGAAAACAATGCCTTTTCATGTTGATGATCACTTTACAATCAGAACAATAATACACCCTAGATCTTGTGTCTCTAGTGACTACCTTTTTCAAGGCCAACTTGTGCATGTTCAGCAAAATATTAACAGTAAACAAGTTATTCCTGTTTTATTAAGCATATTTTGACTATGAAGGGTTACTCTGTCCTCTCAAGATCATAAATCCCTTTGGGAAACAAGTCTTAGATCAAATAAAAAAATTCAGCTGAACAGAAAGCACACAGAGGGACAAAGGCATCCAGAAATTTCTAGTTACTGCAAAAGTTTCAACAGTATTATAATGGGGTACATGTTAAGACCAAGGAAGTAGAAACTCAACAACACAGCAAAAAGAGCAATAGCACCAAAAGAATACTAAAATATTTTTTATAAAAATGAAATAATTATGAAAAACAAAGAAAAATACTTAACACCTACTTAAACGAAAGCTCATTAAACAAATTAATGATGACTTGATTCTAGAACTGGAAAAATTTAAATTCTACCAGGTATCTCAAGGAGTTATTACTGATAGAAATATGTTTAAAAGGCCAGGCTCGGTGACTCACACCTATAATTCCAGCACTTTGGGAGGCCAAAGTGAGCGGATCACCTGAGTTCAGGAGTTTGAGACTAGCCTGGCCAACATGG